TGAATTTTCCACCTAGGAACACATTCTTCAATCAGTTTCCCATGTAGGAACATCATTTTCTCCATTGTTATCAAACTCTGGGGAGCGTTATTTCTCAAAGCTAGAGGGGTCCTTGAGTAATGGGACGGCAGCGGGGGGGATATTTATGTGAGTTTGAGATTCCACTTCCAGAACACGACTCAGCTGAACTAGAATCGATGCACGTTAACTGGGCAGAAAGAAGTCTGGCGGAGTTTTATCGTTCTATGTCGCCGTCGTGAATTTATGGTGAATCGAGCGGAGCGATGCTGCTGTTGTATTGGTCTCATGTAGGTACATTGCCAAGTTGGTGTTTGATCGCCGACATACTACGTACACTATGTGGAAAGAAGGAGCCTTGATAGGCGCTGTGTGCTTCCGGTGCTACTTCAAATACGGTCTGCTGGAGATAGCATTTCTTGCTGTAACGAGTGATGAGCAAGTGAAGGTAGTGGGGAAAGGGAGCAGTGGGAGGATTGAGTATTCACTTGTAGTGGTGGGGTGAGTAAAGAGGCACTACTAGTAATTTGGGGTGAATTCGCGGTGGAGTGGTATTCGTCTGTAGGGCTATGGTACGCGGCTGATGAATCGACTGAAGGAGTTCATCAAGCAGTGCAATCCGCATATAGAGGCGGCCTCGCCAGAGTTTCGGCTGATCACGCATTTCATAACGTATGCGGATAATGCTGCTGTAGGGTATTTTGCGAAACAGGTGGGTCGGAATTTGACCGCGCGCCACGAAATTCAATTGCTTTTATTAGGGGTTCACCAAGCACGTCAAAGTTCCCAAGTACATCTGGTCAGGGTGAGCTGGATGATAAAATCGTGGCGCGTGACGGAATTTTCATCGTTTAGGATGATCAAATCGTACGAAGGTGCCCACATGATGTCGGTGGAGCTCGCCTTGGATGTGAATTATCTCCGAGTGGCTGATATGCTCTCTGAAACTCGACAGAAGATCTGGCAAGATGCACTGTAGGAGGGGTTGTCAATTTAGAATTTTGTGGCGCGTGACG